TGAGATAGGTAAGATTCAAACCAACGGAGAGTATAGTCACAGAGACCAAGTAAGGTTTTTTTGAGGAGTAGGGGGTGGTCAACTGTGTCAGAGGCAGTGGAGAGGTCCAAGAGCAAGAGTATGGAATAGTGACCATTGGTTTTAGCGGTTAGTAAGTCGTTTGTGTGTTTTAAGAGAACAGTTTCTGTGGAGTGTTGTGGTGAATGAAATCCAGACTGAAGGGGATCGAGAAGGTTATTTTCAATAAGGTGGCAGCTCAGCCGGTTGTAGATTAGATGTTCAAGGAGTTTGGAGGCAAAAAGGAGTAAGGAGATGGGTCTTGGGTTTCCAAGATTGGCAGGGTCCAGTGAGGCTTATTTAAGTACGGGGGGTGACTAGCACATGTTTTAGAGTGTTGGGGAAGATGCCAGTAGAAACGGAGAGATTGAAGATATGAATTAAAGAATGAAGGATAGAGCCAGAGGGTGACCGTAGTATTTGCAAGGGAACAGGGTCCAGGGGGCAGGTGGTTAGGTGGGTTTTAGAAAACAGTTTACCAACCACCTCTACAGTATCTGGGTTAAAACAAGGGAAGTATAGATTGTGCAGGTGGACAAGGAGTATAGGGTGAGGGAGATATCTGTACAGTGGAGATCTTGTCACAAATTTTATCAATCTTATTTTTTAAGTGATTAGCGATCTCCTGGGCAGTGAGTGAGTTAGTGGGTGGCGGTAGAGAGGGATGAAGTAGAGAGTTAAGGGTAGAAAAGATTGTGTGAGAGGGTGTTAATAAGAGTGATAAAATAAGTCTGTTTGGCAGTGTGGAGAAAAGAATTGTATTTTTGAAGGGCAGATTTATATTGGTTGAAATCTTGCTGGGTCTTAGTCTTACGCCATAAACACTCAAGAGCACAGCTAAGTTTTTTGAGGCATCTGGTGTTGTCTGTTTGCCAGGGCTGTAGCAGTTGGGGCCTAATTCTGTGTGTAGTGAGGGGGGCCAATGTGTCCAGGGTGGATGACAGTGAACTATTGTAGACAGAAGTGGCCAGGTTGGGGCAGGACAGGGCTGAGATTTTGTCATAGAGACAATATGTTGCCGAAAAAAAGAAGAGAAGGTGTCAGGGCTCCCGGTAAGACCAGAGATGCGTGAACTGACACAGGGAAACGCAGGCTCAAGTATGGTGTAACAATATAATTTATTAAGGGTTGTACACAAATATAACAAAACCAAACCTCCAACTGATAACGGAATGTACACAGATAAGAGCAGTCAGGGCTGGTGAGGTGGAGTGGTCAGGCGGACCGGGTCAGGAATCATCAGGCAGACAAGACACAAAGGAGTAGGCAGAGCATAGTCAGACGGGCCGGGTCAGGAACAATCAGGCAGACAAGGTACCAAAGGAGCAGGCTGGAGAGTGGTCAGGAATAGCCAAAGTCAGGACAGGCGGAGTTCATTCAGGGTCAGGATCAAGCAGAATCAGGCAGGAAGCAGACAGGATGCAGGTACAGGGGCTCATGGGAAACATACACCAAGGCACTGACTGCAGGTCTGGCCATTCCTTAAATACACCTCCTGCAATCAGCCTCAGGTGATGGCCGACTGCAGGAGTGAGCTTCTGGTTGCTGAGAGCACCCACTGGCCAGCCCTGGTACTGCAGCCCACAAGGCAGGTGAGTCCCACCACCATTGGCAAGTCCATTCCTGAAAGTACCCCCCCCCCCTCAAGGAGCGGCCTCAGGATGCTCCAAACAGTCCGTAATGGCCCAAATGTTCCACCGCCTGGGTCCGGCAACTGGCTGGACATCCCACTGCCGGAATCAAGCGATTGGCTGGGTCTCCTGCTGATAGGCCCATCTTTTTGCAGGAGACCGCAGGAAGGCAGATTGCTGGATACAGGATTTCCAGAAGCAGGCTGGGCATCAGGAGCCGGTACATCAGGCTGGGCAGCGGGCAGAGGCACGTCAGGGCTGGGGCTGGGCAGCGGGCAGAGGCACGTCAGGCTGGGCAGCGGGCAGAGGCACGTCAGGCTGGGCAGCGGGCAGAGGCACGTCAGGCTGGGCAGCGGGCAGAGGCACGTCAGGCTGGGCAGCGGGCAGAGGCACGTCAGGCTGGGCAGCGGGCAGAGGCACGTCAGGCTGGGCAGCGGGCAGAGGCACGTCAGGCTGGGCAGCGGGCAGAGGCACGTCAGGCTGGGCAGCGGGCAGAGGCACGTCAGGCTGGGCAGCGGGCAGAGGCACGTCAGGCTGGGCAGCGGGCAGAGGCGAGTCAGGCTGGGCAGCGGGCAGAGGCGAGTCAGGCTGGGCAGCGGGCAGAGGCGAGTCAGGCTGGGCAGCGGGCAGAGGCGAGTCAGGCTGGGCAGCGGGCAGAGGGAGTCATCAGGCTGGGCAGCGGGCAGAGGCGAGTCAGGCTGGGCAGCGGGCAGAGGCGAGTCAGGCTGGGCAGCGGGCCATCAGGCGAGGCAGCGGGCACCGAGCCATCAGGCGAGGCAGCGGGCACCGAGTCAACTGGCACGACAGCGGGCACCGGGTCAACTGGCACGACAGCGGGCACCGGGTCATCTGGCGAGGCAGCAGGCATCGGGCCATCAGGCGGAGGCAGCAGGCACTGGGCCATCAGGCGGAGCCGCGGGCACTGGGCCATCAGGCGAAGCCGCGGGCACCGGGCCATCAGACGAGGCAGCAGGCACCGGGCCATCAGACAGAACAGCGGGCACTGGGTCATCTGGCACGACAGCGGGCACGGGTCATCTGGCACGACAGCGGGCACCGAGTCAACTGGCACGACAGCGGGCACCGAGTCAACTGGCACGACAGCGGGCACCGAGCCATCAGGCGGAGCAGCGGGCACCGGGCCATCAGATGAGGCAGCAGGCACCGGGCCATCAGGTGAGGCAGCAGGCACCGAGGCATCAAGCTCGACAGCGGGCACCGAGTCATCTGGCAGAACAGCGGGCACCAAGTCATCTGGCAGAACAGCGGGCACCGAGTCACCAAGCTCGACAGCGGGCACCGAGTCAACTGGCACGACAGCGGGCACCGAGTCAACTAGCACGACAGCGGGAACCGGGTCATCGGGCGAGGCAGCAGGCACCGGGCCATCAGGTGAGGCAGCAGGCACTGGGCCATCAGGCGGAGCCGCGGGCACTGGGCCATCAGGCGAAGCAGCGGGCACCGGGCCATCAGACGAGGCAGCAGGCACCGGGCCATCAGACGAGGCAGCAGGCACAGAGGCATCTGGCAGAACAGCGGGCACTGGGTCATCTGGCACGACAGCGGGCACGGGTCATCTGGCATGACAGCGGGCACCGAGTCAACTGGCACGACAGCGGGCACCAAGTCAACTGGCACGACAGCGGGCTCCGAGCCATCAGGCGGAGCAGCAGCGGGCACCGGGCCATCAGATGAGGCAGCAGGCACCGGGCCATCAGGTGAGGCAGCAGGCACCGAGGCATCAAGCTCGACAGCGGGCACCGAGTCATCTGGCAGAACAGCGGGCACCAAGTCATCTGGCAGAACAGCGGGCACCGAGTCACCAAGCTCGACAGCGGGCACCGAGTCAACTGGCACGACAGCGGGCACCGAGTCAACTAGCACGACAGCGGGAACCGGGTCATCGGGCGAGGCAGCAGGCACCGGGCCATCAGGTGAGGCAGCAGGCACTGGGCCATCAGGCGGAGCCGCGGGCACTGGGCCATCAGGCGAAGCCGCGGGCACCGGGCCATCAGACGAGGCAGCAGGCACCGGGCCAGACGACGAGGCAGCAGGCACAGAGGCATCTGGCAGAACAGCGGGCACTGGGTCATCTGGCACGACAGCGGGCACGGGTCATCTGGCACGACAGTGGGCACCGAGTCAACTGGCACGACAGCGGGCACCAAGTCAACTGGCACGACAGCGGGCACCGAGCCATCAGGCGGAGCAGCGGGCACCGGGCCATCAGATGAGGCAGCAGGCACCGGGCCATCAGGTGAGGCAGCAGGCACCGAGGCATCAAGCTCGACAGCGGGCACAGAGTCATCTGGCAGAACAGCGGGCACCAAGTCATCTGGCAGAACAGCGGGCACCGAGTCACCAAGCTCGACAGCGGGCACCGAGTCAACTGGCACGACAGCGGGCACCGAGTCAACTAGCACGACAGCGGGAACCGGGTCATCAGGCACGACAGCGGGCACCGGGTCATCAGGCACGACAGCGGGCACCGGGTCATCTGGCACGACAGCGGGCACCGGGTCATCTGGCACGACAGCGAGCACCGGGTCATCTGGCACGACAGCGGGCACCGGGTCAACTGGCACGTCAGCGGGCACCGGGTCATCTGGCACGGCAGCGGGCACCGGGTCATCTGGCACGACAGCGGGCACCGAGTCAACTGGCACGACAGTGGGCACCGGGCCATCAGGCGGGGGGCAGCGGGCACCGGGCCATCAGGCGGAGCAGCGGGCACCGGGCCATCAGACGAGGCAGCAGCAGGCACCGGGCCATCAGACGAGGGCAGCAGGCACAGAGGCATCTGGCAGAACAGCGGGCACCAAGTCAACTGGCACGACAGCAGGCCCCGGGTCATCTGGCACGACATCGGGCACCGGGTCATCTGGCACGACAGCGGGCACCGGGTCATCTGGCATGACAGCAGGCACCGAGTCACCAAGCTCGACAGTGGGCACCGGGTCAACTGGCACGACCACCGGGCCATCAGGCGGAGCAGCGGGCACCAGGCCATCAGACGAGGCAGCAGGCACCGGGCCATCAGACGAGGCAGCAGGCACAGAGGCATCTGGCAGAACAGCGGGCACCGAGTCATCTGGCAGAACAGTGGGCACCGAGTCACCAAGCTCGACAGCGGGCACCGAGCCATCAGGCGGAGCAGCGGGCACCGGGCCATCAGGCGGAGCAGCAGGCACCGGGCCATCAGGCGGAGCAGCAGCAGGCACCGGGCCATCAGGTGAGGCAGCAGGCACCGAGGCATCAAGCTCGACAGCGGGCACCGAGTCAACTGGCACGACAGCGGGCACCGGGTCATCTGGCACGACAGCGGGCACCGAGTCACCAGGCTCGACAGCGGGCACCGAGTCACCAAGCTCGACAGTGGGCACCGAGTCAACTGGCACGACAGCGGGCACCGAGCCATCAGGCGGAGCAGCGGGCACCGGGCCATCAGGCGGAGCAGCGGGCACCGGGTCATCAGGCGGAGCAGCAGGCACCGGGCCATCAGGTGAGGCAGCAGGCACCGAGGCATCAAGCTCGACAGCAGGCACCAAGTCATCTGGCAGAAGAGCGGGCACCGAGTCAACTGGCACGACAGCGGGCACCGAGTCATCAGGCACGACAGCGGGCACCGGGTCATCAGGCACGACAGCAGGAACCGGGTCATCTGGCACGACAGCAGGAACCGGGTCATCTGGCACGACAGCAGGGCACCGGGTCATCTGGCACGACAGCGGGCACAGTCACCAAGCCGGACCACGGGCACCGAGGCACCAGGCTGGCCCGGGTCATCAGGCTGGATCGGGTCATCAGGCTGGATCACGAACACCGGGTCATCAGGCTGGATCGGGTCATCAGGCTGGATCGGGTCATCAGGCCGGATCGGGTCATCAGGCCGGATCGGGTCATCAGGCCGGATCGGGTCATCAGGCCGGATCGGGTCATCAGGCCGGATCGGGTCATCAGGCCGGATCGGGTCATCAGGCCGGATCGGGTCATCTGGCCGATCGGGTCATCAGGCTGGACCATGAACACCGGGCCATCAGGCTGGATCGGGTCATCAGGCTGGACCACGGGCACCGAGGCACCAGGCTGGCCCGGGTCATCAGCTGGATCGGGTCATCAGGCTGGATCACGAACACCGGGTCATCAGGCTGGATCGGGTCATCAGGCTGGATCGGGTCATCAGGCTGGATCGGGTCATCAGGCTGGATCGGGTCATCAGGCCGGATCGGGTCATCAGGCCGGATCGGGTCATCAGGCCGGATCAAGTCATCAGGCCGGATCGGGTCATCAGGCCGGATCGGGTCATCAGGCCGGATCGGGTCATCTGGCCGGATCGGGTCATCAGGCTGGACCATGAACACCGGGCCATCAGGCTGGATCGGGTCATCAGGCTGGATCACGAACACCGGGTCATCAGGCTGGATTGGGTCATCAGGCTGGATCGGGTGTCAGGCTGGATCATGAACACCGGGTCATCAGGCTGGATCGGGTCATCAGGCTGGATCGGGTCATCAGGCTGGATCACAAACACCGGGTCATCAGGCTGGATCGGGTCATCAGGCTGGATCACAAACACCGGGTCATCAGGCTGGATCGGGTCATCAGGCTGGATAGCGTACACTGGGTCATCAGGGCATCCGGCTGAACAACGGAAGGCGGGTTCTCAGACGGCAGGCTGACCGGTTTGGATACTGGTAGGATGGTACTGGTTGGAAAGAATTTTCCCTTCTTCTTGGGTTTAGTTACTGGGGCACTGCAAGTAAATGCAGGTCTGTAATTGGATGGAGTAGCTGGGGACAGAGAAGAGCTGGAGGGTGGAACAGAAGAGGGAATAGTTGTTACAGCGGCCTTTTTTACAGGGTTAAAGGCAGGATAGGTGCAGCGAGTGGGAACAGGGTACTGACGTGGTAGATAGCAGGGTATATTGGGCTGTAACTGGGGGGTGCTGTCGGGAATGCACGAATAGAGCTTTGAGCAGAGGAATAATTAAAAGCAAGATGGGTTTGTTGCAAGCTGCCTGAGTGTAACAAGTCTGACCAGGACTGTAGTATTGGTTGAACAAAACTCAGCTTACACATAACCTGTCTGACCAAAGACTGCACTGCGATACACTCCACTAGCACATGTTGTGAACATGCTGAATAATGCTCCCAGAAGCAATCTGGATTATCCTCCAACAACCATACCAGTGATTCTATTTGATCCACACTGAATGGTGGAAGAAAGTAATTCCTGCTTTCAGGGGTACTAGATGAAGCCAACTCAACACAAGCCTGAACCAATGGTTGCACCTCAGAGAACTCTGTGCCCTGATCTACTAGGGAATGAGTGATCCGTATGCACTCTAGCAGCTGATCCCTGGTATACTCCTGCAGAATCTGATAGGCATATTCTCTGTCATCTAAGACAAGCAAATACAAGTATACCACCTCCTCAGGATGCATCCTTCCCAACAACAAGCCAAGATGGCTTTCCTGTGCATCCACTTCTGGTCAGGAATGGCCTTGGTGTAATGTCAGGGCTCCCAGTAAGACCAGAGATGCATGAACTAACACAGGGAAACGCAGGCTCAAGTATGGTGTAACAATATAATTTATTAAGGGTTATACACAAATATAACGCACAATATAACAAAACCAAACCTCCAACTGATAACGGAATGTACACAGATAAGAGCAGTCAGGGCTGGTGAGGTGGAGTGGTCAGGCGGGCCGGGTCAGGAATCATCGGGCAGACAAGACACAAAGGAGTAGGCAGAGCGTAGTCAGACAGGCCGGATCAGGAACAATCAGGCAGACAAGGTACCAAAGGAGCAGGCTGGAGAGTGGTCAGGAATAGCCATAGTCAGGACAGGCGGAGTTTATTCAGGCTCAAGATCAAGCAGGATCAGGAATCAGGCAGGAAGCAGACAGGATGCAGGTACAGGGGCTCATGGGAAACATACACCAAGGCACTGACCGCAGGTCTGGCCATTCCTTAAATACACCTCCTGCAATCAGCCTCAGGTGATGGCCAACTGCAGGAGTGAGCTTCTGGTTGCTGAGAGCACCCGCTGGCCAGCCCTGGTACTGCAGCCCACAAGGCAGGTGAGTCCCACCACTATTGGCAAGTCCATTCCTGACAGAAAGGTTAAGATAACGTAGGTTTCTTCAGGTAACTGTTTGGTAGTTGGAAGACAAGGAGGAGGATGCCAATAAGCTAATAAGGGAGTGATCAGAGAGAGGAGGAGGAAAGCTGATGAGGTTGCAAGGGGTGCATAAGTAGGAGAACACAAGGTCGAGGCAGTTGCCATTCGAGTGAGTAGAAGCATGCGTCCATTATTTTAGGTCAAAAGAAGTGGTTAGGCTCAGAAGTTTAGAGGTAGCAGGAGTGTTTAGATTAACAGGGATGTTGAAGTTACCAAGAATGATAGTGGGAATTTCAGAAGAGATTAAGTAAGGCAGTCAGGCAGAGAAGTCATCAAGGAAGCTTTATACAGGTCCTGGAGGTCGATAGATCACAGCAATTCTTAAAGAAACTGGAGAGAACAGACAAATACAGTGAACTTCAAATGAGGAGAGGGACAGAGAGGGAGGTGAATGGAGGACCTGAAAAGTGCTTTGAGGGGATATGAGGATTCCTGCTCCACCTCCTTTCCGTCCACTAGGTCTGGGAGAGTGAGTCCAGAGGAGACCACCATGGGAGAGGGCAGAAGGAGAGGGAGAGTCAGATTCATGAAGCCAGGTTTCTGTAATTGCAAGCAAGTTAAAGGAGTTTGTGATAAAAAAAAGGTCATGGACAGAGGTGAGTTTGTTACAGACAGAACGGGCATTTCAGAGGGCACAGGAAAAGAGGAGGCTGGTTCTAGGAAGAAGGGGAATAGTAACAGATTGTGTGGATTGTGGCTGCTGTTAGAGGATAGGGGTGCTGGATGTGTTGATCAAAGGAAAAAGATGGCGGCCCAGGATTTGGAGACACGTCTCCAGATGTTAGGAGAAGCAAAAGGGTGAGGGAGGTAATATGGGAGTATGACTTATATGGAGGGACAGGTTCCAGTGTCCTGAAGGTTTTATTAGTGTGTGGGTTCAGAATTAGCAGGAGTTGATGAGTATAGTAATAAGGTGAAGAAAGGAGTGAGGGTGATATATACTGTATAAGCTGTGGGGTGGAGAAGAGGGGTGAAGGAGAGAGAGTTTGAAGAGAGAGGACACAACTGTGAGAAGGAGGAGTAGGAAGTGCATGTTACAGAGTGGAGATGAAGCAGACTGGAAAAGAGCTGAAAGAGCTGGATGGGGAAACGGGTCACCTGTAGTCTGATTAGTATTTAAAGTTATCTGCCGTTGTTTCTCGTTTTGTGCATTCGCTGAAGTGCAGAGCCGAAGCGTAATACTTAATCCAAGATCAATACTGTATCCATGATGATAGTTGCCAATGCTACCCCTGGCTGTGCCTCCCCTAAGGAAGGCCTAAATTTATACTTAGTTGGGTGAGGGAATTGCCAATTAATCAATTAGGAATGCTTAGCAGAGACACATGGCTAGCAAGGCAAACTTCTCACACCAAACGATGACTTCAAGAGACAAGAGAGCAGGATGGCAGAGTTGTAAAGATTAGGTTCAGCTCATAAATTTGGGCTAGACAATAAGAGCAAAATAAACACCATAGTAATATGGACCAGAGTTAAAGATTTTTGAAGCAGTAAGAATGACCAATAAGAACATTGATAGTTATGAATCAGCTTCAGTTAGAGGTGGATTTTAAAAGCAGTAAATATTACCATATAGCAGTGTGGGGTGAATTAGCATTCATACAAATACAGAGAGATATTACAGATGAATACTGCTTGCAGACTGTCAGGGCTCCGGGTATGACCAGAGGTATGTGAACTGACGCAGGGAAACGCAGGCTTCAGATATGATATAAACAATATAATTTATTAACACTAACAATACATAAACGCAGTGCAATACTAAAACATAACACAGTGCAAACGAACCAAACCAAACCACCCACAGATAATACATACAATGCAAGCGTCGTCAGGCAGGCCGGGTCAATAACAATCGGGCAGGTAGGAACAGGGGGTCAGGCAGAGAATGGTCGGGGTCACAAGCCAGGGATCAAACAGGAGAAGTCAGCAGAGGTCCGGATCAGGCAGGGTCAGCAATGAATCAGTCAGACAGGGACAGGGCCAAGAACAGGGATGCAGGTAACAAGCTACAGGGCCCAGGACAAACACACACCAAGGCAGAGACTGCAGGTCTGGCCATCCCTTAAATACACCTGAATAATCAGCTTCAGGTGTTTGGCTGGCTGCAGGGTTGAGTCTCTGATTGCTGGGAGCACCCGCTGGCCAGCCCTGGTACTGCAGCCCACAAGGCAGGTGAGTCCCATTATTACTGGCAAGTCCATTCCTGACAGTACCCCCCCTCAAGGAGCGGCCTCAGGACGCTCCAAACAGTCCTAGCTGGGCAAAATGTTCCACCGCCCGGGTCTGGTAACTGGCGGGATATCAAAGACTGGCACATCGGGCAGGACTCCGGGCAGCGGCACTCCGGGCAGAGGCACATCGAGCTGGACTCCGGGCAGAGGCACATCGAGCTGGACTCCGGGCAGAGGCACATCGAGCTGGACTCCGGGCAGAGGCCACATCGAGCTGGACTCCGGGCAGAGGCACATCGAGCTGGACTCCGGATCACCAGGCGGAGCGGCAGGCGCCGGGCCACCAGGCGGAGCGGCGGGCGCCGGGCCACCAGGCGGAGCAGCGGGCACCGGGCCACCAGGCGGAGCGACAGGCATCGGGCCACCAGGTGGGGTGCCGGGCCCCCAGGAGGGGCGACAGGCATCGGGCCCCCAGGCGGAGCAACAGGCATCGGGCCCCCAGGCGGAGCAACGGGCGCCGGGCCCCCAGGCGGAGCGGTGGGCGCCGGGCCCTCAGGGCGGAGCGGCAGGCACCAGGCCCCTGGCACGACAGTGGGCTCTGAGTCAATTGGCACGACGGACAGCGGGCACCGGGTCATCAGGTACCGGATCGTCTGGATCGACAGCGGGCACCGGGTCATCTGGCGTTGGATCATCTGGCTCGACAGCGGGCATCGGGTCACCAGGCATGACAGCGGGCACTGGGTCACCAGGCATCAGGTCATTTGGCTCGCCAGCGGGCACCGCGTCATCTGGCAAGGCAGTGGGCACCGAGTCACCAGGCACGACAGTGGGCTCCGAGTCAACTGGCATGACCGCGGGCACTGGGTCAGACATTGGATCGTCTGGCCCGACAGCGGGCATCGGGTCACCAGGCATGGCAGCGGGCACTGGGTCATCAGGCATGGGATTGTCTGGCTCGACAGCGGGCATCGAGTCAACTGGCCTAATGGAATCATCAGGCTAGATCAGTTCATCAGGCTGGGTAGAAACATCATGCTGGGTAGAGGCATCAGGCTGGGTAGAGGCATCAGGCTGAATTGTGGGCACCGAGGCACCAGGCTGCACCACGGAAGGCAGGTTCTCAGATGGGAGGCTGACCGGTTTGGATACTGGCAGGATGGTATTGGTTGGAAAGAACTTTCGCCTTTTCCTGGTTTTAGTTACCGGAGCACTGTAATTAAGCGCAGGTTTGTAAATGGATGGAGCAGCTGGAGACAGAGAAGTGCTGGAGGATGGAACAGGGGAGGGAACAGTTTGCTACAGAGGGCTTCTTTACAGGGTTAAAGGCAGGATAGGTGCAGCGAGTGGGAACAGGGTACTGACATGCGGTAGATAGCAGGGTATACTGGGCTGTAACTGGAGGTGCTGTTGGGAGTGCAGGAATAGAGCTTTGAAGAAATAGATTAGAAGCAGGACTGGGTTTTTTGCAAGCTGACTGAGGCTGGGTGCAACAAGTCTGACCATGTCTGCAGTACGGGTCGAACAAAGCTGAGCTTACACAAAAGCCTGTCTGACCAAAGACTGCACTGCGTTTATACAATCCCTTAATACCTGTGGTGAACATGCAGCATAATGCTCCAAGAAGCAATCCTCATCATCCTCTAATAACCATACCAGGGACTCTACCTGGTCTGCACTAAATGGTGGCAAAAAGTCATTCCTGCTTTCAGGGCTACCAGATGAAGCCAACTCTACACAAACCTGAATCAAAGGTTGCACCTCAAAGAACTCTGTGCCCTGATCTACTAGGACATGAGCGATCCGTATACATTCTAGCAGTTGATCCCGGGTATACTCCCTCAGAGTCTGATAAGCATATTTCTGTTATCAAAAACCAGCAGCGACAAATACACAACCTCATCAAGATCCATCCTTCCCAGCAACAAGCCAAGATGGCTTCCCTGTGCAGCCACTTCTGGTCAGGATTTGCCTTGGTGTAATGTCAGGGCTCCGGGTATGACCAGAGGTATGTGAACTGACGCAGGGAAACGCAGGCTTCAGATATGATATAAAACAATATAATTTATTAACACTAACAATACATAAACGCAGTGCAATACTAAAACATAACACAGTGCAAACGAACCAAACCAAACCACCCACAGATAATACATACAATGCAAGCGTCGTCAGGCAGGCCGGGTCAATAACAATCGGGCAGGTAGGAACAGGGGGTCAGGCAGAGAATGGTCGGGGTCACAAGCCAGGGATCAAACAGGAGAAGTCAGCAGAGGTCCGGATCAGGCAGGGTCAGCAACGAATCAGTCAGACAGGGACAGGGCCAGGAACAGGGATGCAGGTAACAAGATACAGGGCCCAGGACAAACACACACACCAAGGCAGAGACTGCAGGTCTGGCCATCCCTTAAATATACCTGCATAATCAGCTTCAGGTGTTTGGCTGGCTGCAGGGTTGAGTCTCTGATTGCTGGGAGCACCTGCTGGCCAGCCCTGGTACTGCAGCCCACAAGGCAGGTGAGTCCCACCATTACTGGCAAGTCCATTCCTGACACAGACAATACCATATAGCAATATAGCAGTGCGGGGTGAATTAGCATTCATACATGACAAGAGAGATATTACAGATGGATATTGCTCACACACAATTACCATATAGCAGTGGCGGGTGAATTAGCATTCATACATGACATGGGCGATATTACAGATGGATATTGCTCGCAGACAATTATCATATAGCAGTGCTGGGTGAATAAGCATTCATACATGACAAGGGCCATATTACAGGTGGATATTGCTCGCAGACTATTACCTGTGATGGGATAGAGAAGAGTTATTCAGATGATGCAGAGCCGAAGTGGAATGCGTACTCCAAGATCAATACTTTATCCATGATGATAGTTGCCAATGCTACCCTGGCTGTGCTGCCCCTGGCTGAAGAACTGTAGAACTGGGGATAGGGAATGTAGTAGAATACTCCAAAATTAGAATTGTTCACACTGAGAACATCTAGCTGATCTCTTAGTTGAGCACTTTTGAAGTCTTGGCTGAAGCAGATAGCAGGCTTCCCTTTAATTTGTAGCAGAATATTGTTTAGGAGTGAACAAAGTCCTTTTTTTTAGTAGTAGTATTTACAGGGCAGAGCTCCTCAGGTACAAGCCAGTTTCAACAGACTGCGACAGCCCAAAGGTAATGTAGCTGAGTAAAGTCCTTTGAAGTAGCAACAATTGGACAAGCTCTTCTGAACACTAGCCAGTGTTCCCTTTCCTTTTCAAACCCACACTGATTATCAAGCACCAGACGGGTAGCAAGCGCAAAGAGTCCCGAAATAACTGTCTGTACTCACAAAGCCCAAGAACAGAATAGTTGCCTCCTTCCAAGTGAAACCCTGCAGAGATACAAGACATAGATTTGTCAAATAGCTCCCCTCAGTCAGCTTACTGTAGAACCATGGTCACTCTCACTGACTTCAGGCCCTCAAGTTGACCCACCTGAGGCTGCATGGCAGTCAGGGCCAGGCGAGGCAAGCCTGCCTCCATCCTGGCTTGGTTCCATCCTCTCCTGGGAAAGACACCAGACCTATGCGCTCACAGAACATAAATACCACTCCCAGCATGCAATGAGACTGCCCTCCCCTGCAATTGGCCAGGACTGTATCCATATTCATGCTGCTCATTTGCCTAGTTCAATCCCAGGTTCTGGAAGGCTCTCATAGCTTCCTGAAGGTGGGAAGAACTCAAGGCAAACGCAGCAGCACCAGAGCATTTTGAGCAGACCTGACTAATCAATCACAGCACTCAGTTAAGCAGATAGCCCAAATAGATTTTCCTACAGTCTCTCCGTTAGGCAGAGAAACACAGCTATACTTAACCTAAACTATACAAATCTTAGTACCTATCTAGTAGGGTGCTACAATAAAAAAAATCCTACCTTAAGATTTAGTAGAACAAGAAAGGATTATGACTACAGATAAGTGAAACATAGAGTTTTAACTGCTGATTTTCCATTAAAAAAATCTAGACATGTATACAAAATTTTACAATTGAACAAAATGCATTGGAGTCCAATGGAAAGACAAATTATGGTGGTATTTAAAGCTGAGTCCCAGGAAAAAAGCTAAATACACTGATGGAAAAAAAAAAAATATATATATATATATACATACACATACACACACTATATTGCCAAAAGTATTGGGATGCCTGCCTTTGCACACACATGCCATTATTACTAAAGTTCATATAAAAGAATAGTAAAATCTCAGGGCAAGTGAGCACTTAAATTAGATTCTAAAATTGATAAATTAATAAAAAATAAAAATGAGACAATAGCAGCTGAACACCAAAAAAGGTACCGTATAAACCTTCAAAATAATCAGAATGCATAAAAAAGGGAGGTGCAGCGCTAACTTAATAAATACACATTCATATAAACCAATGTTAAGGTGCTGATAAAGTGCAATAAAAAGGTGACTATAGATGATGAGTATAGTCCATAATGTGATCAAAACCCAAGAGAGTCTTCAAAGAACTCCAATGACTGGATTCGTGGATGAGGTGATAAAGGTATAAAGATTGCGCACTCACCAGATACGCAATCCAAATGCGCATTCAGAACAGATAATCCTAGGGTCCTCATATGGATCTGGTCAGATCTGGTCACAAAGCCCCTCACCACTTGATAGTGTTGCCACACATAGATGAAAAAAAGGCCGCTCTGCAGACGTAAAAGGCTCCCACCGGAGCCCAAAGAACAAAAGGAGGCCAAATAGTGTGATACCTTAATGGCAAGGGGTATTTATTCCCAAAAAAAATCACGATACAAGCAGGGGCAGGAAAGATACTGACCATACATAGGTTTAGCAAATGGCCGCCGGGGCCCTCGTGGCGCCGGTCGGCGTGACGTCACACCGCTGTAGCCGCTCCCTGACGCGTTTCGTGCGAAGGCACGTAGTCATAGGGGGTTAGCTTACAGCGGTGGACGTCGATGTAGGACCTAAATAAGGAAAGCGGCGCATGCGCTGTAATCGCGCGCCATTTTCCAATCAGCAAATGTCTCCATATCGGGCGCCATTTTCATGTAGCCCGCCGAACAGCGCATGCGCGAGCGCTGTCAGCACGGAGTTACACAATGAATGGCATAACGATGATCACCAGGGAAAGGTGTATTGCCCAGGAACCCATACGCGGCGCAGATCAAAGGCAGACAGCCCCATGAACAGTCTGATCAGCGCCGTCAGTACGGAGTTACGCAGTCTTATGGCATAATAATGATCATCAGGGAAAAAATGTATTGCCAAAAACTCATATGCAGTGCAGATTAAAGGCAGACAGTACTATTATCAGTCTGGTCAGCACATGCATAAACAATAATTCTCTGTACCAAAAAGTCAAATTTAAAATATATAAAAATATAAATTATGCCTGGTGGTCATTGTTAATACCACACTCTTTAATAGACTCACAGTCAATATCTCAAATATAGAAAAACATATAACTGTTAAATTTAATTACAACAATCATATAAAAGCATATAATAAAATACAATGGTTAAAAACGGAATAGGCCTATGTTAAAATAATAAAAATATATATATAAAAAAAAATATATATATATAATTATAATCAGAAAGATAATTAACTTGTAAAATTGACTTCGCTATGACCTAAAAACCAAATCAGCCGCAATAAAGTCGGCCGATGATAAAAAGAGAGAGAGAGACAATAAAGTAGTGGGAGGAATAATACTAATATTAACTGTTGTCAATGAAACAGTTAATGTCCATATCTATGTTAAGTCCTTTAGGACGCATACAATCAATTTGATAAATCCATTTAGTTTCCATCTGGGAAACTGTTCTCTTTTTATTCGTTCCCCTCCAGTGGTTTTGTACTACATCGATTCCTGCAAATATCAAGGAAGATGGGTCTCTGTTATGATGTGTCCTATAATGCATTGACAACGAGTGCTCTTTGTAACCCTTTCTCACATTATTAACATGTTCCCGCAGTCGGTCTCTGAGTCTCCTGGAGGTACGTCCGACATATTGTTTTTTACAAGGACATTGCAAAAGATAAACGACATATCTGCTATTGCATGATATGAAGTTATTGATTTTATAAGTCCTCCCAGTACTGGTGGATGTGATGTCATCAATTCTCCTTTTCCTGTGTCCATT